CCACGGAAGAGCTACGGTCTAATCGTTCACGGATTACTACGGAAATGTGAAATTCGTAGTCCGCTACTGTTCCAGTACGGACACACAACGGTATGAGTACGGAGTCCGACGGATTTACCACCAAAAGCCCCCGGAGAGACACAGATTGTTACGGACCGACACGGTTTGATACGGAGCGACAAGGATCAGGACGGACGCACTACGGATACACTACGGTCTGCTACGGTATAAGCACGGGTTAGTACGAATAAGTACGGTCTGATACGGAGAAGAACGTATTGATACGGAGAAGAGCGAATTGCCACGGATCTATACGGACCTAATACATCCGTCCACAACCTCTTGCTTGCTCATTTTCAAAATGCCTAAAAAGAAAAGAACACCTAGAAAACGAATTGCAGAGTTCAATGATTTTGGCAGAGAGGACGCGGCCTAATCGCGTCCGACCCCCGAGGCACATCAGGTCCGATTTAAGTGAATTTCTTGAAGGACGCTGGATCCTCAACAAGTTCGACTATGAGGACCTCATACTAAACTTAAAACGGTCTTTGTAAAAGCCCATCTCTAGTCCACCATCTTGTCTGTCTTCTCTTACCTGATTAGATATGGACTAGTAATCATTAATGAAAAATGTTGATCAATACTGCTTTTCTTTAAATTTAAAGATTTGCTGTTCATCTTACAATTACATTATTTATCGTGATGTTTATGTTTTAAAAATATGTAAAAAGCTTGTGAATTAATCTTATTATCACTCAAAGGCCAGCCTCCGAGGCTTATGAGACACTTCGTTTTATGTACATATTTACTCCAATTTCACGATCCAATGTTTGTAAAATATGTAACATTTAATGTTATTCTGTTACTTATGAATTATAGTTCGATAGTAATATAAATTTACTTCTATGTATGTCATCAAGCAGCTCGACCACTGCCTCCGCATTCTGAGCCATTTCAATATAAAGTTGCAGCCAGTAAATTGCAATTATCATTTATTAAATGTTTCCGCAAATATATCTATTTTTAACAAGAAGGTAGTATTTATACCCTTGAAAAAGTACATGATACTTAATTCATCCTTACTAAACAGTGGTGGACCGTACCATTCCGTACCGTTTCGTGTTGCAACGCAATAAACCGTATAAGACCGTGCTAATCCTTGCCTCTCCGTAGTACAACGTATTACGATCGTGGCTTTCCGTGACAATGTCGTATTAATCCGTATTAAAACCGTAGCTTATACGTAGGATAACCGTACAAATACGTAGTTCTCCGTACAAAACCGTGGAAATCCTTGGCAAGTTGGTGGACTACGAATCAGTACGGACTAGTACGGTTTTCGTACGGACCAGTACGTATCATTACGGATTAATACGGACTAGTAGGGATAAGCTACGGTTGATTTTTCCGTAGCAAATTTTTGTGCATGTTCAAAAATTGTCAAGGATGGCTACGGATATACAAGGACTACTATGATTGATTACGGTTACAATACGGAGAGCTACTGACCAGTACGGGTAGCTACGGACGATGCCGGAATTAATCCGTGGCTCTCCCGTGGGCGTATTCCGTGAATATGTGACCGGGGTATTACATCATGGCTAAAACAGGCATCTTCATGTCATGTGTCATTATGGCTAAAACAGTAATCTTCATAATAAAAAATGTGACATCATGGCTAAAATAGTCATCTTCATACAATGTAACATCATGGCTAAAATAGTCATCTTCATATCATGTGACATCATGGCTAAAATACAACCATCTTCATACAATGTTACATCATGGCTAAAACAGTCATCTTAATATCATAGCCAAAATACAATACCTTCCTATAATGTAACAGCATGATTAAAATAAATAAAATAAATGCTCATGTAATGCAACACCATGGCATAATATAGTCCTCATTTCACCAAGTCATAGTTATTATCCTTCACAATGTGAGTCAACAACATACCATAATATGTATACTTCCTGTTATGTGACATTAGGTCAAAAACATTAATGGTAATGTCATGGTAAAATATGAACACTTCCATGCACTTGAACATCAGATCAAGAAATACTCTTTGAACTTTGATGCCATCATATACATTGTAAAATAAGTATGTTTCCATGCAATATAAAATCAGGCCTAAGAATTATGTTCCTATATAGGGGGATGTCATAGTAAAACATATACATTTCCATGGATATATCTATACAGCTGCCATTGGTAAATATGTATATTTCCATGCAAATTGACATTTGCTTCTAACTTAATGAACATTATATTAATGAACATTTTAGAATGGCCCTTTCCATTTGCTTGCAACCAAATGTTCCTCTCCCACTCAAGTTCTTTAGTACTTTGACAAGACTGTGATAGTGTAAATACTGATGAAACCTCTCTCAACTTCTGCTGTGATGCCAATTTTGTGTACCACTTCATTTTGTTGTGCAGCTCCATGTAAACATTACTTTACGATACTGGCAATAAAGGATCTGTTCTCAGTCACAATGCCAAAAGGTGGGTGAACCAATCAATCTTGTTTGTATAATGAGGCAATAGGGTTCATGATTTTGTATTTGTATTTACCAACACTTTACCACTCTTTTCTGCATGACGAAATGTTTGTCCTCACATGGTCATATTTATATGTAAAGGAAATATATACAAAGTAGAGCTACAAAACTACAAAATATCTGACAAATTGTGATTGTCACTGCAGCCAAGCCTTGCATCCTCTCCACCCAGGATTTATACATCAAAGTCAATATCAATCAATCATTATCATATAGGAACTTAAACACTGCATGCATCACGAAAATATAAATCAATATGATATAATAGGTTACCTAGGTTACAGCTAACATGCATGTGCAAAGAAAAAGAATCAGTCAAAGCAGCTAGCATTTCTGTCTCCTCATTATTTCCGCTCAACTTAATTTCCTGTAACTTCAATTACATCATCATAACTTTATTTGTAATTTAATATCAATGCAAAATCTGTTGCTATAAAAACTGCAGATAAAACTGTTTTGTGCTTTGTCTTAAACAGGAAGAATTTATAAATGGGTCACAGAATAATCATCTCAAAAATATTGTATTATTTATACACTTCAAAAACAGCAATTATCAACAAGGGAAAACAAAAGAAAGTCAATTAAACATATATTTCCTGGTTGTCGATAATTTACAAAGTAGTCTGTCAACTAACATTAATGTTCCAACACAAATTTCATCTCAAAATCAACATCTTTTTTTACCAAATTTCATGTAACCTTGACCTCTTAGCTGACAAGCATAATTTTTTATAGAATGGCTTATTTTGTTTTCACTTGACAATATATTTCAACATTTAAGCCTCTTTTTTCATGCAAAGATATAAATTGGCTCTCTTCATTGCTTTAAAGATGTAAAGATGTAAATTGGCTGACATTAATTCATAGAATATTTGTTTGTATCTTGATATAGATTATACAAAAGTACCTTTAAGTTAATTACAAAAATGTGTTCATAGAACAGGTATGCCCCTACATTCCACTGTTTTGTTAGTCTAAAGGCTAACAGACAATAAAGCAGCTGGGTCTGCAAACAAAAATCATCATTGTTGTGTTTCCTTACTTATAATTCATTAAAGTAGGGACTTTTTGTTTGTTTTTCAGCTTGTTTTAACAAATGTTTGAATCTTTTTTCAGCAGATTATCAACCTAACTGGTTTTCCTGGATAGCTAACCAGTACTTTCCAATTACTTACAAGTGACTGACTACTTATCCCACATGATATTCCTACAATATTAGACTAAATGTCTCATATCAATTGTCACAGCCCAAGGACAGAACCAGTGACCCCTGGATTATAAAGTCCAATGCTCACCCTATTTAGAAGAACCTGCACTATCTGTTACACCACACTAAATCTTATGACTATAAGAACATAAGAACCTCATTTTCATTTCTTTTTTTTATATTTTTACATTAAATTTGGCCAGTCATAGCTTTATACACTGTCAAAATGCATTCTTAGGACTTGCTTGGGTATTCATTGAATATATTTTAATGGATTTAAAAATTGAAAGTATCAAAATCAAGAAATCAGCAGTAAAGATGCTGGTCAGATTGGCAGTGAGCAGGCAACTGCTTTAAGCTTATACTGGTGGCATTGCAAAGGCATGATCGCTGCTAGCAGATACATAGTAAGATGATTATAAAAACACCAACATATTTGAAGTCTACATTCAATCCACATTATATTTACAAGATAGCAATCACTTATATTCCTGCACTATTATTTTCTCTTTTGTTGCAAAATACTTAAGAAAAACAGTTCATAAACCTTTGAAACTTTTCTATCAAATTAAATGAAAAACTAAAGTTATAGTTATTATAAATTTAATGAACTACATCTGTGAAATAAATGGTAAACCAAAGTTTTCATACACAATTATATGTTTGCAAAGTAACACACACTAAAACACCTGATGTATTTTGTCTGGGGTACTACACAAATTTAGGACTCTACCATCATAATATAGGTTCTACTTCTACCATCCAAAAAAATGGTCATATAAAAATAAAAACTCTAAATTTTAAGATTATTATAAATCTATGTACAGTTTAGATAAGGGGTGGCAGTTGTGCTACTGTGATAAGTACATTATAATTCCCTATTAAAATGTAGGCCGTGACTCCCGTAGAAATGACATGCCTTCACCTTTCGCATATCATGCCAACAAAAACAAGAAGCATGTCATTGTCGTTTTTTCTAGTTTGTTCCAAACCCCTATCCCCCTGAATATTCATTAAAGCATTCAAGACTGGTCACAAACACAAATGAAAGAAAAAAAAGAAACATTTAAAAATTTTGCACAGGAGTTTCAATCCCATGTTGCAATATGTACACTTTGCAAGGACTTTGAATATTAATAACTCCAGATTCACATGTTTTTATTATAAACGCATTCTTAACAACAACATAAAATAGAAAATGTAGAAATGTGTATGTAACCCTTACCAGTACTTGCACCTGGAACTGACTCAGCTGAAAATTGGCAGCATTTCATGTAAAATATTATGTCATATTTCAACAATTCAACATGTCAAATTTCATCAATTTATGAACATGTTGAATATGTTGTCAGATTGGACAAGGAATCAGCCATTTTGCAAACACATACTAAGACAGTAAATGGCATATTTCCAAAATTTGGCATGTCATCTTTGAAACACTTGTTTTCAAGCAAATAACATGAAGAACTTCAAACACTCAATGTCATATGCCCATATCAATAATTCATCATGTCAAAATTTCAAAATCTACTATTTAACATGTCATATAACAATATAAATTGCAGGTCATATTTCAACAATACAAAGTATGAAATTTGCATGCTTTCGAAAAAGACCACTTGTATAGTAATAGGATCAGAAAATACATTAAAATCCAATCCTTTTTTAGATATAAATGAGCCGTGTCACGACAAAACCAACATAATGTGTTTGCAACCAGCATTGATCCAGATTGATCAGGATCCGTGCTGTTTGCTTACAAACCCTATTACAAGTAGAGAAACTGATAGCGAACAGTATGGATCCTGATCAGACTGCGCGGATGCGTAGGCTGGACTAGATCCATTCTGGTCGCAAACCCATTATGTTGGTTTTGTCATGAGGCGGCTCAAATATAGATGGTACATGCCTTAGTCAAAAGAAATCAAAGAAATTATTAGGTATTTACTTAGATGAAAATTTAAAATGGAATGTTCAAATAAAGCACGTCTGTAATAAATTACAAAAACAAATTGTTCTCTTAAAGCGTTTATCATACTTTTTATCTGCTGAAATGAAAGAAATCTTTTACAATGCTTATATTTTACCTTGTTTTGATTAATGTTGTATTGTATGGAGTACTTGTAATAAAACTGAGTTTAAAAAAGTGAATAAACTGCAGAAATGCGCAGCAAAGATAATATTGTGTAAACCAGTCAAAACGCCATTTTTACAGCTTTTCCTTACATTAAACTGGTTAACTTTTGAAAATAGATGTACGTATCATACAGCATTATTAGTATTTAAATCTATTCAAGGATTGACTCCTTCCTACATTTCAGATATCCTAGTGTTCTCGAAAATTGAAACAGATACACTTAGATCAACTAAAGAAAGAAACATTATACATGTAAGATATTATACAAAACATGTAAAAAGAACTTTTAGAAATAATGCAATGCAAGACTAGTATGGAATAATTTACCTTCAGTTGTATTAAACAAGTCATCTTGTATATATGCTTTTAAGAAATATGAAAAAATATTTACTTGATATACAATTTAAATGAATCTGATGTAGGCATGTGTCTGTCAATTTGAATGTTTGTTTTTGATATGTGTGTGTACAATCATATTTGTGAATTTCTTAATCTTGTTTAATTGAAGGCCATATTGTAAATAAGAAATGTATTTCTAAATATGTTACTTTCATGAAATAAAATGTTCATTATTATTAATTATTATTATTATTATTATTATTATTATTATTACACAGAAGCTCACAGATTATGCATAAGAGTTGGAGCATTCTTTATAAATATCTAAACAAGAGCTCTGCATGTCTAACCATTAATACACTCATTTTCAAGCTGTTGTGACAGGTACTGTTACACAACTCAATTGAGAAATATAAGAAAACAACCACAAGTTCATGTTGATCAGACAAGAACTTTACACAAGTTTTACTGTGATCTTGACCTTTTACATAATGACCTCAAAGTCAAAAGGGTCATTTACTGACCATGGGCAATGTCCCTTCCAAGTTTCACAAACCTTGGCTTATACCTTCTCAAGTTATTGAATGGGCAAGTATTTTTCACAAAAGTCATCATGACCTTTACCTTTTGACATAATGATGGATGGACATGGGCCATACCATATTACAACTGAAGTCACTGTCCAATAAAAAAGCATATGGCAAAAGCCATTGTAATAAATGAATTCTTGTCCCTGTAAAACAACTTAGAGAACCAAACACCCTTCTATCCCTGTATTACAAACATGGCCATATTTTTTCCACTTTAACTTTGGTCCTGATATAATATGACTCCACTATGCTGTAATACTGAGATAAAAGTGCTAGCCAATAAAACATATTATGAACAAACAAATGCAAAGGTTTCTACAATATAAATTCTCTTCAATGTTACTTCAAAACAATTATTATTGTTTTTCATATTTATAACTTCAGCCATTTTTTGTAACTGTAAGTATGCTTTTCTCAAATGACTTCTTAAACACCAATATTTCAAATGCCATTATTGTGTCCCCTCTAACGTCCCCCATATTGCAATTACTGTAACATGTCTTTCTACATAAATCTATGTATAAAACTAATAATCTCCCATAATGGGGCCATTTGCGACCCCAGGGGCATGGCTTATGTAACTATTATAGATTCACAAGGCAATGCTTATGCCTTTTCCAAGTGTCAGCAACTTTCAGATAACAAGACCCAATCCCCAGTAAATATGCTTATTTTTTCCCAATTCAAAATAATAATTCCTAATCAAACTGAAATTCAACTGAAATTCCTGAAATTTGCTGGGTTATGCTTGAATGATATTTGCATTGGTTGGAATGAACAATATTTTTTATTTTAAAATACTATACCCCCCACAAATGGAGGAGGTATTTTTCCCAATAAAGCATTTTTACAACACAACAATTTCCATGCTGGGCTAGGTACTTTTACCCAAAATAGCTAGGAAAAGGCAGGGCTACATGGCAAATACCTATAGCTCAGACGATTATAAGTTTCACACACATGAAGTTCAAATTGTATTTCCCTACACAAGTCCAGGTATACTGACATCTAGGCAGCACCAACTTTGACCCCATGGGAATAGTTTATTCAACTTTTCTATAGGGCTACCCCTGGGGTAACAATATTGCCCCACTATGGGAGTAACATAGATTTGCAAGTCACTGTAACAAAATTGACCTCAGGGCATAATCTATGTCGATTAGCCCTTTGTAGAAACCTATGCTACAATATTGTTTGTACTCACCAATCTGTGTTCTAACGACTTTAGTTGCAGGTAATCCCTCACCCTTCTGATTAACAGCAGAAACTTTAATCTCATAGAATGAACCAGGTAGAAGATTATCAAGCAGAACTGGATGGATCTTTTATACCAGTGCGAGAGCTTGGTTTGCCTATTCTTTAGTATCTACCTTATAAGCTGTATTGTCTGAGGTGTTGTTTGTTTTAACGTTTACCTGCCAATGAAAATAATCAATTTATTTATTTTTTTAAATCATCAACTATCGTTTTATCTCGACATCGCTTTATCTGGTTATCTCGATGAAATTTTAAAAGTCCCGATTTTCTTCCTTCTTTATCTATCTTGGAAATATTGTTTTTCAGTATCTCAGATATAAAATGTTCAGCCCAAACAGTAATAGTTTTCTTTCATCTGTTCCTTTCAGACGTGTTGAAAAACACAAACTAGACGATAATTGCTAAAATAGCGCGTGTCATAATGATGATTATGTTTGTAACAAGTTTTTAGCTGTTATTATAAAAGTTAATAATTAGGGTGTTGATTGACTATGTCCAAATGAGTGAATTTGATGTTCTTTATTCAAATATTCGAACACGTGGTACAATTCCATAGGGGGTAGCAATATTGCCCCACTATGAAGTAACAAAGATTTGCAAGATCACTGTAACAAAATTGACCTCAGGGCATAATCTATGTCGATTAGCCCTTTGTAGAAACCTATGCTACAATATTGTTTGTACTCACCAATCTGTGTTCTAACGACTTTAGTTGCAGGTAATCCCTCACCCTTCTGATTAACAGCAGAAACTTTAATCTCATAGAATGAACCAGGTAGAAGATTATCAAGCAGAACTGATGGATCTTTTATACCAGTGCGAGAGCTTGGTTTGCCTATCTTAGTATCTACCTTATAAGCTGTATTGTCTGAGGTGTTGTTTGTTTTAACGTTTACCTGCCAATGAAAATAATCAATTTATTTATTTTTTTAAATATCAACTTACATAGGCTAGTTTATAACATATTTTTTTTAATGTAATTGCAAAATCACCATGAAATATTTTCAAGAAACTTTAATCTTAACCTTTAGTCTGTTGGGGGCAATAGAATTACCAATAAATGTAACCACTGCAAACCAAGAACAACTGGCACATCCCTGCTATGTGATTATGGTATGCACTGTTCGCTATTGAGTATTCAGTCAGGACATTTTTTTTTTAATTCTAAAAATGATGATTTGTCAAAATTGAAAAAACAAGAGGGCCATGATGGCCCTGAAGTCGCTCACCTGTATATAGCCCCCCCCCCCCCCCCCCCCCCGGGCCAGTTTAAACCCCACGGCTTTTATTTGAACAAACTTGGTAGACACCCATTAGAAGATGTTTCATGCTAAATATCTAAGGTCTAGCTCGTTGGGTTTTTTAAAAGAAGTTTTCTTAGTTTTTTCTTTACACATATCCTTAAATACAATGACACCCCTGGGGCAGGGCCAGTTTTGACCCAAAGGCTTTTATTTGAACAATATTTGTAGACTCTTACTAGAAGATGTTTCATGCTTAAAATCTAAACTCTAGCTTTTCAGGTTTTTTCGAAGAAGATTTTTAAGTTTTTGCTATACACATATAAGGAAAATCAATGTCCCCCGGGGCAGGGCCAATTTTGATCCCAGGGCTCTTATTTGAACAAAGTTGGTAGACATCCATTAGAACATGTTTCATGCTAAATATCTTAGATCTAGCTCTTTGTGTTCTTTAAAAGATTTTTAAGTTTTTACTATATTCATATAGGGAAAATCAATGACCCCCTGGGGCGGGGCCAATTTTGACCCCAGGGCTCTTATTTGAACAAACTTGGTAGACATCCATTAGAACGTGTTTCATGCTAAATATCTTAGACCTAGCTCTTTGTGTTCTTTAAATGAAGGTTTTTAAGTTTTTACTATATGCATATAGGAAAAATCAATGACCCCCTGGGGCGGGGCCAATTTTGACCCCAGGGCTTTTATTTGAACAAACTTGGTAGACACCCATTAGAAGAAGTTTCATGCTAAATATCATAGCTCTAGCTCTTTGGGTTCTTTAAAAGAAGATTTTTTAAGTTTTTACTATAAACATATAGGGAAAATCAATGACCCCCTGGGGCGGAGCCAATTTTGACCCCAGGGCTTTTAATTGAACAAACTTGGTAGACACTCTCTAGAAGATGTTTCATGCCAAATATCTAAGCTCTAGCCCTTTGGGTTTTTTAGGAGAAGATATTTAAAGTTTTTTCTTTTGGTTGCCATGGCAACCGGAGTTCTGCATGGAATTAATTTCTTTGAACAATTTTCAAAGGTGACCACCAAAGGAACATTCCTGTGAAGTTTATATGAAATTGGCTTAGTGGTTTATGAGTTTATGTTATTTAAAGTAAAAGTTTACGGACGACGGACGGACGCCGGACGGACGCCGGACGAAAAGCGACCCTGTCACAAAGTGACAGGTGAGCTAAAAAAAACATCATGTCCATTTAAGATACTATGGGTGGCAAAGGTTAAACTTACCCTTTGGTATGTCAGTCTGTACTCTAGAATTTGAGCTCCACCATTGCTGGGGATTGACCATTTTACCAAAATTGATGTTGGCTTGCCGGAATTCATTGGTGTATCGTCTAATTTTGGAGTATCAGGCACCCCTGTAATAAGAAAACACATCATTAACTCTTACCCTGCTGAGATTTTTACATCAAATGAGCCGCGTCATGACAAAACCAACATAGTCTGTTTGCGACCAGCATGGATCCAGACCAGCCTGCGCATCCACGCAGTCTGATCAGGATCCATGTTGTTAGCTTACCAACTCAATTACAAGTGGAGAAACTGACAGCGAACAGCATGGATCCTGATCAGACTGCGCGGATGCGCAGGCTGGTCTGGATCCATGCTGGTCGCAAATGCACTATGATGGTTTTGTCGTGACATGGCTCAAATAGACTTTAGGCATCCCTTTGAAGTGTATAATAAGATAGGCATTCTAACCACTATTTCTCCAAAATTAAATATTCTAATATAAACGCTTTAGATATACCAAACATTCATATAATTATCATATTTTCTTTCAAACTGAATGATATAAAGTTCACTTTATGCTTAATGCTATTTTGAGCAACTTTGATCTCATTTATGATTGCGAAAAAGATGTGGTTTTTTTCTTGAAATAAAAAACTGATTGGGACTTATATGAGACATTTAATTGGAACAATTCTTTGAGCAAAATTTCAAAACTGTTTTGCTGAAAAACAATAACAAAATTAAAACAAGCTTTAAGAAAACATATATATTATTATACCTCATATGTTTTAATTTACTTATTAGCCTTATGTAATGTCAGAGGGGAACAAATCTATAATGTTACATGGTAACATCATATCTCAGCCCCCTGACATTACCAAACAGCCCTCATATGCATAGCCTTATGTTATGTCAGAGGGGAACAAATCTATAATGTCACATGGTTACATCATATTTGGCACTATGACATTAACAAACTACCCTCATATGCATAGCCTTATGTAATGTCAGAGGGGAACAAATCTATAATGTCACATGGTAACATCACATTTTGGCACTATGACATTAACAAACTACCCTCATATGCATAGTCTTATGTAATGTCAGAGGGGAACTAATCTATAATGTCACATAGTAACATCACATTTCAGACCCCTAACATTACCAAACAGCCCTCATATGCATAGCCTTATGTTATGTCAGAGGGGAACAAATCTATAATGTCCCATGGTAACATCACATTTGGCACTATGACATTAACAAACTACCCTTATATGCATAGCCTTATGTAATGTCAGAGGGGAACAAATCTATAATGTCACATGGTAACATCACATTTCAGCCCCCTGACATTGCCAAACAGCCCTCATATGCATAGCCTTATGTAATGTCAGAGGGGAACAAATCTATAATGTCACATGGTAACATCACATTTTGGCACTATGACATTAACAAACTACCCTCATATGCATAGCCTTATGTAATGTCAGAGGGGAACAAATCTATAATGTCACATGGTAACATCACATTTTGGCCCCATGACATTAACAAACTACCCTCATATGCATAGCCTTATGTAATGTCAGAAGGGAACAAATCTATAATGTCACATTGTAACATCACATTTCAGCCCCCTGACATTGCCAAACAGCCCTAATATGCATAGCCTTATGTAATGTCAGAGGGGAACAAATCTATAATGTCACATGGTTACATCATATTCTGGCCCTATGACATTAACAAACAGCTCTGTTCCATATCAATTACTTCCCCTGCATAGGTAATTTAGGCACTTATTAAAAACTGTTTTAAGGTATAATAATAAAAAAAATCACATTCAACTTCAGAGAGTAGAAGAGAATGTTCACCAGGGACATGTGACATCAACCAATGTACATATCAGACGAGGTTAGTCGTGGTTAAAATCATCTTGTGAAGAGTTATCACCCTTTGTGGGATGTGATATATATAGAGTATCAATTTTTCAACATTATGCTATTCATTATATCATAATGCTGTTCCCATAAATGAAGACTTATTATTATAATCAAATCTGAACAAACAAATAAACCATTTTTGATAAGAGAAAAACTTGTCTAAGATTGAGAAATCATTTATTTTATGTTGGCATTTAATGCTACTGACCCACACACGGCTGTTTATTGTCATTTCAACAGGGAGAGGAAACAACACCATACCTGTTTACAGATATAAGCTGCACAGAGGTGTAAAAGTTTGCAGTTTTCACGAGATAAGTGTGACCTGACAGCAGCTGTTATGCTTCTCTTGAGACAGAGGTAATGTTTTGCTTTATAAACATTTTGTTTATAGATTCAATTTTTTGAATAAATGTTTACCAAAAAAAAAAAAATTGTTATGGTTCAGGAAGAACGTGCAAAACTTCATAAAGCTGGTATTTCAGGTAGCTAGACATGAGTAAGTCATCTAGTTCAAAGTAAATATTTAAAACTTTGGTGCAAATTGAAATCTTTTTGATGGTGCCAGTTTCAGAAACGCCAAATATCACAACCATGTGTGGGAGAGTAGCTTCAAAAACTGTGTATTATTTGTTGGTTTGTTTTATTGGGTTTTACATCACACTGACACAGTATAGGTCATATGGCGACGTTCCAGCTGTACTGGTGGAGGAAGACCTCAAGGTGCCCTTTCGTGCATTATTTCAGGCCCGAACGGGCACCCGAGTAGAACCACTTCCGTAACTGTATTAATGATGATAAAAAGAATAATAGAAGTTAATGCCATGAAAGGGCATAAAAGTCTTTGTAATATTCACATACATGTATATATAAAGATAAACTTTGACTTACATGTGTCATTAAACCTTTGTTTGCTTGCTGTTTATACATATCAAGAAAGATTAATACCACAAATAACATGATCATATTGCTTACTTAAATTTTTCAAAAAATAAAAATTGCCTAAAGCACTTTTTTTAAAAATCAAAATCTGCAAAGAGCACTTTTAATTAATTCTTGAATTTTATACTATTATATACACTCTTGAGTATATAATCTATATATGACTGACTTCGAACTTTTTTTATACTTTTTTTTATACCAGTGTGATATAATGCATATCACTCACTGTATATTGTTAAATACAAATATAATATATTCCATCAAATAGCATAGATATAATCATGTGTTTCAATGTAGTTTGTGAAAAACTTAATATTTCCCTTTAACCACATGCTAAAGAGAAAATATTTTTAAGTATTTCACTTCAAACCAAAAATAGGAATTAAATCCATATTTCATTTTTAAAAGTAATATCTTCACTCTAGTTGATGAATAATAACATGGTCCAGAAAAAAATCTGAAATATGTGAAAACAGTTCAACAACTTTGTGATAGCAAAAATAATAACTAAGGTCATTTTACATGAAAAGAATATGATGTCTTTTATACTTTTAACAAAAAATTAAAGGAAACAAAAAATGTATCATTCTGCAAAAACAGGAAAACGTAAGAAACACAACAGCTAAATACACAGTACACAAACATACACAATCAAACTCCTCCCACCCAAGCTAAAAATAGGCCTTTAGTCCCTCCCATATTCTGGTCCTATATGTCAAGCTATGTCCGATTCTTCATCTAGTTATAAATCCACACATGGGTTCAATTCCCTATCAATTCTGTTTGAAGCTTTTGTTTTTCATTTAAAAGTTCACCTAGCAAATTTTACTAAAAATTGTACAATTCCCTTATTTTACAATGTTAAGTAAGCTTCTGGTATCTTTATGATTATACTTATTTCAAAATAATCTTGTCATTTCTTTTCATCTAATTGAATGACTCTAAACCAGGTCTGCCTTTCTTGGAGAATAAGAAAATATATTTCTAATAAGATATTAAACCAGTTTACATAAAATTTTCCAAAAGAAATTAAAATTAAATGTAACCTTTTACACTTTGTGCTGCAAAGCAAGCCCTTTTTTAATGTTTATAACCTCTCAAAATGGTCAAAAACACTTGGTAAGAACATTATAAATACATTTCTATTGGATTTAAACGGAATAATTTATGAGACCTGTCTCTTATGGGTTGAAAAGAAACACTGGGAGATATATCTCCTTTGGACTAAAAAGGAACACTTTGGGAGATCTATCTTCTTTGGGTTGAATGAAGATCTTAAAATTGACATCTTTCTCAATTTTGTTCAGGCAATTAGACAGCTTGTTTGGCATATTGCCAAACATCTTTGATGAATAACCTAACACAAAAGTAAATATAGATAAAGATATCCCCCTTATTATGAACATAAAAGGGAGTGAAAACAACACAAAACAATAAACAAGAGCGATCAGTAATCACATGTGTCGCCTCATGATGGCCAATTTCATGTTGGGACAAATTTTGTGACAGACGGACAGACAGACGGACAGTGCACAACTAGACTTGGTACTGATCATTCCTGTAAAGTTTGGATAAAATTGCACCAGTAGTTTATGAGGAGTAGTCCGGACAAGCTTTTGCGTATCTGGCAACACACAGAAAAAAAACACCTTTTTATCAAAGGGCCATAACTCGGCCAAAAATCATTCAACCGGAAAACCCAGGCAATATGCGCAAGGACTTGAGCTACAGATCAATCCTGTAAAGTTTCATTGAAATTACATGAGTGGTATAAGAGAAGTAGTCCGGACAAACTGTAAAAATAAAAATTATTAAAGGCCCATAACTCAAACAAAAATCATTGAACCGGAAAATGCTGACAATATGCACAACTAGACTTGGTACTGATCATTCCTATAAAGTTTGGATGAAATTGCACCAGTAGTTTATGAGGGGTAGTCCGGACAAGCTTTTGTGTATCTGGCAACACACAAAAAAAGAAACCTTTTTATCAAAGGGCCATAACTCGGCCAAAAATCATTCAACTGGAAAACCCTTGCAATATGCGCAAGGACTTGAGCTATAGATCAATCCTGTAAAGTTTCATTGAAATTGCATTAGTGGTATAAGAGAAGTAGTCCGGACAAACTTTAAAATTAAAAATTATTAAAGGGCCATAACTCTTACAAAAATCATTGAACCGGAAAATGCTGACAATATGCACAACTAGACTTGGTACAGATCATTCCTGTAAAGTTTGGATGAAA